GGTTCCAAGCTGTTGTCCAGTTCTGCCCTTCTGGACCTCCACAGCTCAACATGGCCAAGAACACCTGGCCCATCTTGAAGGGCTTCCAGGAGGGGCCCCTTAACTTCGCTCCCACCTTCAAGTTTGATGTGGGTACCAACAAATATGATACCAGGTAAGCTCTGAAATGGGAAGAAGATGTGGGCTGAGGTCTCCTGTGGAAGACTGTGGGAAGAGGGGCAGGAGGCAAGGCCGGAGGTTAAGGCATAGCCCCCTGTAACTCAGGCTATCTCTGTCCACTGCAGTGCTAAGAAGCGGAAACCAGCCTGGACAGATCGTATCCTGTGGAAGGTCAAAGCTCCAGGTGGAGGTCCCAGTCCTTCAGGAAGGGAGAGCCACCGGCTTCAAGTGACCCAGCACAGCTACCGCAGCCACATGGAATACACAGTCAGTGACCACAAGCCTGTAGCTGCCCAGTTTGTCCTGCAGGTGAGTTCCGACCTCATCTTCCCCTCATGACATCCTCTGGCCCAGCTCAGCTTCCCATTGCCCACCTGTAACCCCTTGCATCTGCCTTTAGTACCATCTATTTATTCTAACAGAATGGGAATGGGTTATAATCTCTATTTTCAGACGAGGAGGCTGAGACTCAGAGATAGGATAGCATCACTTGTCCAGGGTTACACAGCTAAGTAAGAAGAGTTAGGATTTGAACCCAAGTCAGTTACCCTAAACCTTCTTCTAAGAAAGGTTTAGGGTAACATGTTAAAATTCACATGTATAATAAGATCAGCAAAATCAAAATGTTACTCAAAACCCCCATATACCATTCATTATTTTTACTTACTATCTGATCGTTAGCCCGGCCTTATGACAGTAAGGTAGTAATGGAGAAGGGGAATAGAGATATAAAAAATAAAGAGCCAATCTCAAAATAGTTACTAGAGTTTAGTATCATCTTCTGTATCATGGGTTCACATCCACAGATTCAACCAACTGCAAATTGAAAATATTCAGAAAAAAATTGTGTCCTGTCAGCACAGCGATACATTCCTGTTACCCCAGTTACTTGGGGTGCTGAGGCGGGAGGATCACAAGTTTGAGGCTAGCCTAGGCAAATTAGACTAGGGGAAGGGGAAGGGGAATATCTCAGTGGTCAAGTGCTTGCCTAGCATCTGTGAAGTCCCAGGTTAAATCCCTAGTGTCTCTCTCTCTCTCTCTCTCTCTCTCTCTCTCTCTCTCTCTCTCTCTCTCACACACACACACACACACACAAAGATTTTAAAAATTTCATCTGTACTGAACATGTATAGACTTTTTTTCCTTGTTATTTTCCCCTCAGTAATACAGTATAACAACTATTTACACAGCATTTGCATTGGTAGGTATTATAAGTAATCAGAGATGATTTAAAATATACAGGAGAATGTGCAAGGTTATATGCACATTACTATACCATTTTATATAAGGGATTTAAACATTCTTGGATATTGGTATCCACCAGGGATCTGGAACCAATTTCTTACAAATACTGAGGGATGACTATATTGTTTTTAGGGTTGAGGTTCCTGGTTGTTAAAGTGAAAATCCAGCTGGGCATGATGGCATATATCTGTAATCTACTTGGGAGACTGAGGCAGGTTTGAGGTAAACATCAAGTTTAAGATCAGTCTCAGCAATTTAGTGAGACTCTGTCAAAATTTTTAAAAATGAGATAGGGACTGGAGATGTAGCTCAGTCATAGAGAGCCCCTAGGTTCAGTCTTCAAAACTGCAAAACAAAATAAACAAAAGATGGGGAGGGAGGGAAGAATTCTAGAATGTCAGAACCAGATCTAAAAAATCATGTAGTAAAACTCCCTTTTTTTCTGTGGGAGAATCTGAGGTTCCTAATGGACCCCAAGTTATACAAATAAAGGCTCATTGGCAGAAGTGGAGCAGGCTAGATCCAGTCTTTCCAACTCTGAAACTCTACACTGAATTCTGTCAATCTGATAAGAAGAAATCCTGCAGGTCAGAAAATGTTTTTCCTGGTAACTTTGTCCTGTCGTCAGTAAGTGGGACAAGGGCCAATGTCTCCAGGGAGTGGAAATGTGCCCATGCCTGGCCTCCCCCTCCCATGACCTATGGTAAAGGACTTGGACTTGAGGTTTAACCCTCAGTCAGGAACCTGACTGGTAGAATGCTTGCTTTGCATGTACAAGGCCCTGGGTTTTATTCCTAGCAACACACGCACACACACACATACACACACACATAAAATTGCTCCTTTTACCCTGTCCTTCCTGCCCTTTCTAAGACTATCTCCTTCAAAAAATGTTACCTGTTGAGTACCTACAATGTGTCAGGCCCTGTGTAGGGCACTTTACGTGTGTCGTCCTTTTAAATGTCCAAATTCTTCTCCCTGTTTTACTGATGAGAGAAACTGAGGCTCAGAGAACCTTAAGTATTATCCAAAGCAATGCCATCAGAATAGGGCTTAGCAGGGGTTTTGACCTTGGGAGGAGACTGTCTGTTAGAAACCCAGGGACAGGGAGGGAATGTGCCAGTTTCTTCTGGAATAACTTGGCTTAGAAACTGAGGGAAGGAAACCTGAAACCAGATCAACAGGGGAGCAGACAAAGACCTGAAGCTGGCACCACCTGAGCACTTCTCCTAGGGACACCAGTAGAGCCAATACCCTGGTTATCTGCCACCCCTGCAGTCCCACCCATTTAGGTGACTCCCCTAACCTCCGTCAGTACGGTTGATCCTGGGGGAAGGATACTCATGATTATAATTTGTCTTTGTGGACTGATGACAAGGCAGTTGTTAGTGTGCTGTTCTTGCCAGCTCAGGAGTATTCAGCTTATTCCAGAATACCCAATATATCATAGGATTTTTCCTGTCCCCCTTGCTAACATGTAGGCAAATTCTTATTACTTACTTACTTTTATACTGTAAAGTTTATAAAATGTTTTACAAATGGTATTTCAATGAATCTGTAGAACCACCCCCAAGTGTTAAATAACAGCCTCTAGTTTATAGACAGGGGCCCTGGCATTCATAGAGGCTGAAGAGCTTGTTCATTGCATAAAGTGCAATGCAGAACCAGGATCAAACTGCGAGAGTCTACTGGCCTCAAATCTGTGTTCCACTCACTCCCTGAGGAGGCAATGGGTAGAAGGAATCCTGGGCTAGAAGGCAGAAAGCTTGATGTTTATCCTAGACCTGTTGTACCTCAGTTTCCCAGTCTATGAAATGGCCTCATATTCCTTTGTCTCTGCTGACTTGTGCTGACTCCAACCCAAGAACCCCGGGTGTGTGGAATGCTAGAGGGTTTCTCCTGAGATTGCCCCCTAACCCTGCCTTGCCTGGACAGTTTGCCTTCAGGGACGACCTACCACTCGTGCGTCTGGAAGTATCAGATGAGTGGGTGCGGCCAGAGCAAGCTGTAGTAAAGTATCGCATGGAAACAGTGTTCGCCCGCAGCTCTTGGGACTGGATCGGCTTGTACCGGGTAAGAAGGGCAAGGGTGGTTGGTGTATTAGGGGAGGAAGTGCCCTGGAGGAACAGCTGAGGGTCACTGCTGTGTCCAGTGTTTGGTGTTATTCCCAAAGGCTACTGGGATGCGGTATTAGAGGTCACAGTCCTCATTCTTCTTGTCCCAGGTGGGTTTCCGCCACTGCAAGGACTATGTGGCTTATGTCTGGGCCAAACATGAAGACGTGGATGGGAATATCTACCAGGTACTTAGAAGGAAAGGGAATGTAGGGAGACCTCAAGACTCATCTTGAGGTAGCCCCCTTAATCCCAATTTGGGCTTATACCCCTGGGCCCACCAGGTGACATTCAGTGAAGAATCGCTGCCAAAAGGCCACGGAGACTTCATCCTGGGCTATTATAGCCACAACCACAGCATCCTCATTGGTGTCACTGAACCCTTCCAGGTAAGTAGGCCAGACTGCAGGGTCATGGGATGCCAAAAGGCCCTGTTCAAATGCCAAAGCCTCCACATTCTACTCCTAGACCTCAGACCAGTGGCCCAATTCCCTAGGTCTGCCAATGGGAGGATTAGAGTGGTTTCAAGAGGCCTCTGTGCCCAGGTTGGGGAGTGGGGTGCTCCAGTAACCAGCATTCCCCTCAGATCTCGCTGCCTACCTCGGAGTCAGCCAGCAGCAGCACAGACACCTCGGGCACCAGCTCAGAGGGTGAGGATGACAGCACTCTGGAGCTGCTTGCACCCAAGTCCCGCAGCCCCAGTCCTGGCAAGTCCAAGAGACACCGTAGCCGCAGTCCAGGCCTGGCCCGTTTTCCTGGTCTTGCCCTTCGGCCTTCATCCCGTGAACGCCGTGGTACCAGCCGTAGCCCATCACCCCAGAGCCGCCGGCTGCCCTGGGTGGCCCCTGATAAGAGCAATAGTAGCGGCAGCTGGGGAAGTAGTGAGGAGGGGCCTTCTGGGCTTCCTGGCCCCTGGACCTTTCAACCAGCTGTGCCTCGAAGCCTGGGCCTGCTGCCAGCTTTGCGTCTGGAGGCTGTAGATCCTGGTGGTGGTGGCTCCTGGGGACCTGATCGGGAGACCTCTGACCCTGACAGCCTATCTCCCAGTCCCCAGGGCCGTCAAGGACTAGAGGAAGGGGGCCTAGGGCCATGAGGATAGGGTGGGCAGATGGGCCCTGGTGGCCCCACTCTGCCTCAATCTTCCACAAACCTGCCTGCCTCTCTTCTGCTGCTGCTCCAGCTGTATCTGTACCTACCACTCTGTCCTGGCCAGGGGTGGCCAACTAGGGTCCCCCCAAACTCAGTCCTGGCACTTTAACTGTGATAATCAGCAAAGCCCCGCCTGGACCCCCATCTGGATTGGTGGGAAAGCACTGGCAGAAATCCTAATCTTGGAGTACATCCATTAGGAATTAAATTCTCCAGCTTCACTCCTGGCTGTTTCCTAACTTCTTAGCAGTCTGGTGATGGGGGTAGTTAGTCAGAAGCAGAGAATAAAGAGGTAAGAGAATGACAGAATTGACATTTACCAGGTACTATATATGGGATTCATGCCATCTCCTTTAATCTGTACCACAACCAAATGGGTTCAGTGCCATTCTTAGACTCAGGCATGGGAGAGCAAATTGAGGTCTCCAAGAGGTTACATCAGTTTCTCAGGATGTTATACCAAAGCAGTTTGGCTGTGTTAGAGAAGGAATATTTACTAGGTGCTAAGTGCTATAAGTATGTAAATATTAGTTCATTTGATCCCCAAAAGACTATGAGGTAGCTCTGGTATACACACACACCCTTTTCAGAGGAGGAAATCAAGGCTTAGAACAGGGGAGGGAGGTCCTTTGCCCCAGTGCACAGAACAGATTTGAATTAGGTTTAGGGCAGAAAGAATGGTCCAGGCCTAGGCTAGGAAGGTTGTATCAGCTATTAAAAGAAGGAGCCCCCTAGAAAGAGAGGAGTTGGGAAGCCCTCTCCAGTGCCCCCATCCTGGATTCAGATGCAGGCACTTCTGTGACATTCCTAGTTTCCTACCAGCTGCCCTGGGCTTCATGACAAGGTGCTAGGGCTTTCCTAGACAGGTTATTGAGACATGTATTAATTTTGCAACATGAATATGCATGTACCTCCTTCTAGGACCTCCTGGGGCTGCTGCAATAAGTTACTCTCCCCATTTCCATTCAAATGTGAAGTTTCCTATATAAGACCCTAAGCCCAGGGCATTAGAGTGAGCCTCCTGAATACCATGTTCACAAAACCTCACAGAGGGGTTTTGTCACCAGCTTAAGGTCACCCAGCACTGCAGGAGACATGCTCTGGTATTTGAGCCTTAAGGTCCCCCACCTCTAGCCTCCCGGCTTTCCATAAGAGCTTCTGCCATGCTGCAGTATAACCCATGGAGAAGAGACCAAGATTCCCAGTGCTTGGTCAAGCTAGGGATAAGGTCCAAGCTGATGCTCAAGAGAACTGGAACTGAGGTCACTAGCTCCAGAATTTCTGCTGCCCATTAAGTCTCCAGGTTGCCTGGGTTAGCTGCAGGCACTGGTTGTAGAATGACACAGGAGTCCCTGCGGGCTCCAATGGCCATGCCTGCCCTTCCTCTGTGTCTTTATCCCTGAGTTGGAATCGTATCTTCTGAAGTCGCCGCAAGTGCCGTGCTGACACCTTGATGGCCCTTGAGTCTTTGGAACAGCTGTTGGAAGAGAACCAGATGGTCAGCACTAGCAGAATTCCAGCCTACTCTGCAGACAATGGGATCAATGCCCAGAGAGGATCAGGAGCGAAGCTAAGGTCACAACAAGGCAGAGAGGGCACGGTTATACCTAGAAGGTAGGCAGAATAAACCTGATCTGGTCCCCAGAGGCCTGGGTTTTGTTACTACCTGGCTATGGGAACCTGAGCCAGTGCAGGCCTCAGTTTCCTCTTCATTTGTAAAGTGGGAATAATAAGGGGCTGGCTTTGAGAATCAGAATCCAAATGAGATTGTGGATTAGGAATGAACATTAAGCATTTTACTGTGTTTCAGGCAAGTTTGGTATATCACACAAGACATATCCTTGGCTTGTATAACCACTTTACAGATAAGGAAATGGAGGCTTGGAAAGGTGAATCAACTTGTCAAGGACACACAAGAATTACATGACAGAGCCAAGATGCAACCCCAACAGGCCAACTGCAAAACTGAATCTGAGGCAATAGGGGATAGGGGACAGATGACAAAGAAACTCAGAAACCTCCTGACCCTTTCCCCACCCCCTTGGCCCAGGCACACAATTGGGGTATAGGTAACCCATCCCTTGGGGGAAAAAAAAACAACAACATTATCTCCTGGCTTTGCCATCACTTACCCTTTGTCCTCAGCACAGTCCAGTGGAGGGACCAATTTGAAGCAGGTGGTGCCCAGCAACTCCCAGAGCATGTTGGCACCTGCAGGTGGGCTATGGAGCCTCAGGAAGCGTGCCAGACTGGGGGCAGAGTTAGGCTCAGGCTAGGTTTGAACCTCACCAGCAAGGTGCCCCTTCCAAATAGCCCACCACCAGGGAGCCCTGCAGGCCTCACCGTTGTGTGCAGTTGCAGTGGAAAAGGGGCCCATGGGCACTGTTGAGCAGCTGGAACTTGGTTTCCTGGGGCTTAATTTGGTGCTCACACTGGTCCAGGCGGCGGAAGCTACGGCAGGCCCTGTGGGCACCTGGGGGGATATATGGTCATGAGGGTTGCCCAGTATACCAGAGTGGCTTCACCAATGTTTGCCACCATCCAGGAGAAACACTAGAACATATGCTCAGTCAACACAAACGCAGTCTCTGTCTCCTGCCCTTCGTGCTCTTAGGGTATTGCCCATGTGGGATGTGCCCCTACACACACACACACACACACACAAAGTGTCCCATGGGGAAACCCAGACTGCTGCTGAGGGTGGACAGGAAAGGCTTCCTGGAGGAAGAGACTGCTAAACTGAGGCTGAGAGAGGAAGAGGGAGGAGAGTACTTCAGAAAGAAGGAACAGTATGAGCAAAAGCTCAGAGGAGAAAGAGCAGGCTGCATGGTTTTATTCTATTTTTGCAGTGATGGAGGTCAAACGTAGGGCCTTGCACACTGTAGGCAAATGCTCTACCACTGAACTACATCTCCAGTCTTTGAAGACTGCACTTGAGGAGCCAAATTAAATTTGTTAAACTGGAATTTTGACTGGGGGATGGGGTTTGTAGGGCCTCAGGACCACTGGTCATTGGGACTTTTGTCAACTGTGATAAAAAGTAGCCATGACATCACAGGAGAAGAGCTCAGTAGATGTGAAGTGATGAGGTAAAATTTGCATATTATGAAAATCCCTTACTTCGGTGTCATTTGATGGTAAAGGTTGGGATACCCTACGAGCACTTGGAGCAGGAAAATAAACAACATATACTTCACCCACCAAAATGCACACAGAGGACACCCCCTTCATATCAGGAACTCCGAAGGTTAGATTCTGAGCTTACCCTGAGGTTTTAGGTGCTGGAGAACTGGATGGGGAGCCCATGTATCAGCTGTGGGGGCTACATCAGTCCTGGAGGATGTGGCCTGGAAGACTGTGGTGTTGGTCAGACTGGGGTACCTGGAGTTTTTTAGCTGTGGCTGCCTCTTCTGAGGGTGCTGCTTTTGTTGCAGTTTGGTGGGGGCTAGGCTTTGGGGACTTGGAGTCAGGGAGGTGACGGGGGATCTCCAGGAGGCATTGTAGTAGGTAGTGGGCTGGAGATGGGCGAGTAGCACCGAGCCATACGACCTACACCTGGAAGATGGCAGTTGGTGGCAATTGGTGACCAAGATACCCTGCCTCCAGAAGCCCCCAGGGTGCTTCTAGAAACCTCTGGAGTTGTCCCCAAGAGACCAAGTATGTCTGCCAGTCCCCTTCCCCATCTTACTGGGTTGTGGGAGGCACTGAAGAAGGTGCCTGAACCCTGCCCTAAGGAAAGGACAAGCCTGACAAGAAATCATTCCCTGATGGAGAGACAGCCCTCCCTCACCCGACTTGAAACCCAGGTTCCCCTGCTGATTGGGAAAGGACTCAAGGGGTGCAGCCACATACCCTCCCCACCAGTACCACGCCACACACGCCTCCTTCTCCTTCAGCACAAAGCAGGGGATCTCCAGTACGTTGAAGAAGGCTACACCCACAATGTCCGAGATGGAGTCATGCTGGTTCCTCAGGCATTGCTGGAACCTGCCCCAGAGTCAGCATTCAGGTCCTCGTAGTAGAGAGAGCTCCTGGCTCTTCCAGCAACCCACCCTGCTACTATCAGCCAAATGTTTGTGGTTCAAAAGTTCCTTCCCTCTCTCAGTTCTGTTTTTCCATCAGCACTATGAGGTCCATGCTGGCTGATCTTTAGGATTCTCTGGAATCCTAAGAATTACTCTGCCCTGTCCCTGAGCCTTAGACCCTCTGCCAACCTGGTATCACAGTCACAGTGGGAGATGGTATGGAATCTGAAGTTTCGGATGCCATAGTTATACTGCAAGGGCGAGATATTCTGTGGGCAGCGGTCATGTTCCCGGCAGCAGAGATCAGGGCCCTGGAAGATCCCTGCATGGAGGGGAAAGAACACCAGCTCATCAGGGTCCTGGGCACCACCCACCAGCTATGCCCACCTGATATCAAGAGGACAGAGTTCTGGTTCTCACTCCAACCCTGACATAAAACTCAAGCCAGTCATTCTCCCTCTATGAGAGCCTCTGTTTCAAAGTTTCAAGAGAACAGCCAGTCTGCAGCCCTTTTTGGGCAAATCCCAGTGCCAGACAGCCCACCCATGAGCATATGGAAAGATCTTCCTTAGGGGAATTGGAGTCTGCCCCTAGGGTTCCCAAGCTCATGCTCCAAATAAAACTCTAAAGTTAGGAATGTGTGTGTAATGGAATGGTATACAGATAGAGTACAGCCTTTCTTACTGGCAAAATGAGGTACTGCTGACCTACCAGACTCAGGTGCTAAGTCATCCCCTAACCCTCCACACAGATAGTAACCTATCACAGTCCAAGCAGTAGCTCCCTTTACTGAACACACCCTGAGTGCCCAGCACATCCCACGCCCAAACTCACAGCAGTCCTGAAAATGAGGTGTCACCTTTGTTTTACAGGTGAGGAAACTGGGGTTCAGTGGGGAAGTGACTTGCTAAGTATGAATGTGCTTATTTGAGATTCGAACCTAGACTTATGGGTACAGGTTTTTTGGCTCAGCAGAACTTGAATCCTCCCCAGTCTATTCCCTTCCTCAGAAGGTGATTAATGAGGACTCCCAGGTTTGAATAAGACCTTCTGCATCTATTATATCACTTAAGCGTCCCACGATAAGACTCATGGTCACCCCCACTTTACAAATAAGGAAATTGAGGCTCAGAATGGTTAAGTCACTCCTCAAAGGACACTCAGATGGGAAAGTGGGATCCAGTGCTGAAGCCTGTGCCTCCCCCATCAGATACCCAGATCACACCCCTGGGGCTCACCCAACTCCGAGGAGTTCCCAGCAGAGTCTCCAACTCCACACCACAGTGTGCCAGGCATGGTCCAGCCTCTCTTTGTTCGCAGATGCCCTCTGCCAGGTGCTTCACTCTGCCCTGCCATTCTCTTCTCCCTGGCCCTTGCTGGACCTTCCTCAGGTCCTCGGCAGGTTTCCCACTGACTCTGAAGCATGGCCAGTGTTCTCTGAAGCTCAGGTCCGGGGGTGTGAATGAAGAAGCCCTGGGTGATCTCATGAACACAGAGAGCACCGAAAGTTGCCGTGAGCTCTGGTTCATCCAGCCTGCTACATACCTGCAGCCTTCTGTGTGCATCCCAGCGGGCGTGGAACAGTGCCAGTCCCTGGGTATCCTTGCCCAGGAAGCTCAAGGACCCAAGAGGGCTGCCAGGGATGGATCTGGCCAAGTGGCAAGAAGTGCTATCCCAGTGGAGGGCATGGGAGCCCCCTGGAGTCAACCCCAGAAAGCCAAGCACCCCTAGCAGCACTGCCAGAACCCCCATTCTGCCCTAGCCCAGCCTGGTCAGACAAAGCCCCCTGGCGGCCCACGAGGCAGCAGCTAAGCGGGGGCGGGGGGGGGGGGGGCAGCGGAAGCTATGTCCAGCAGGCCCTGTGAGGCAGGGCCAATGAATGGAGCAGCAGGAGGAGGAGAAAGGAGGCTGGAGTATGGGGTGATCTTGGGCTTGTAACCGAATCCACCGGCTGGGCAGGCTGCTGATTGGCTGAGGAGTGCACTTGTGGGGCCCACGCCTCCACTCACCCTGCCCTTCTCAGCGCCATCCAGTCACCTGCTGCCAGCCCTGCCTGGATGAGGACTGTGGGAACCAAAGCCCTGGGCCAAGGCCGGGTGTTGAGGGAACGTGGTGGGGGGTGGGGGGACACATTCTGTTGCTCCTTGGGGAAGGAAGAAAGTTAAGGGGCTTGGAGGAGACCTCTAAAACCTATCCTTGTATCCCTATTCTGTGGTGGCTGACACACCCACTGCCATCAGATTGGCAGTAGGCCATGGACCTCAGCCAGAGCTGGGTAAAAGACATGAGGGCAGGGCTGAGGATTCTGGGGCTACCACCCTGGGAGTTCCCTAGTCTTCTGGGAAAGGAAGTGACTATTCCCAGGCACAGGCCCTGATGCTCACTCCCTAATTCTGATTGTTAAAAGACTCTTGACATAACAAGGGAACAGTGCTACAGGGTTCGCCACTTCCTAGGACTCCAAGCACAGACCTGGCTTAGCAGCAATTCTCCTGGTCTGATGAATGAGAGAGACAGTTGGAACAGGCCTTGAAAACAGCATAGAGCATGGCCAACACTCTGGATTTGAAGGAATTATGATCCCCAGAGGAATAGAGTGGCCCAGGAGGCTAGGTCTATGCCACCTCTATCCCTGAGCTATGGCTACCTGAGAGACTCAGCAGGCATCACATGTTGCTCCAAGAGACAGGGGTCTCTTCAAGGGAGGGGTGATACCTAGCACTTGGTCCTGTGTCCCCAAGTTGTCATATCATTCAGTTTCCAACCATCTGGTGAAGGTGTTTATATCCATAGTACAGATGAAAAAACTGAGGCTCTGTACAGGTGGGGAAACCTTAGGTAACAATCAGGCCATAGCTAAAGAGAGGTTAGAGGTTAGGAGTGAAGCTTTTACGGGGATTGACTGGGAATCAAGGATAGCCTGGACAGTGACTTGTCTGTCTGTCCATTTGCCTGTCAGCTTACTGCTTCCCCAACATCTGGTCAATCTCCATCTAAGTCTCTCCACATAGACCAGCCCCAGCAAGGCAGAGCCAGGCAGAGCTGGGGAACTCAGTGTGCAGCTAAAGGGGAAAGAGGTTGTAGGGTAGACAAGCCCATCTCTATGCTTCAGAACCAACCTCGGTTTGTGGTCCAAAGGTCATAGCTAGAGACAATGAAGAGAAGGGAGATGGATGGGAGGAGTCCAAGAGCCAAGCAGCCAAGCTCTTTCTCCTCCCCCCCCCCCCCCCTCTTCCTCCACCACCACCACCACCACCAGGGATTGAACCCAAGGTCACTTAACCACTGAGCCACAACCCCAGCCCTTTTAATTTTTTTGAGACTGGGTCTTGCTAGGTTACTTAGGGCCTTGCTAAGTTGCTGAGGCTAGCTTTGAACCTTCATTCCTCCTGCCTCAGCCTCCTGAGCTGTTGTGATTACAGGCATGTGCTACCATGCCCAGCAAGGAGCCAAACTCTTTCTTTCCAGAGGTTTGGGAAAGGAGATGTAGAGTAGAGCAAGTGGCAGGATGGGAAAGAGAGCAAGGACTTACAAGGGCAGAGACAGAACTGAACCAAGTTGAATCCCTCTAAGAAGAATTTGACACTTGAAAAAAAATAACATCATTCTGGTATTTTCTCATATCATAGGACCTGCCACCCACCTCTACTTGCTTTTCCACATTATAGACCCCTTCCCTGCTCATCACTCAGAGAGGATGGGAGGTATTAGCACAGTGTGACCATGGGCTTAGAAGTTGACTTCTCTAAGTTTCCTCTTCTGTATGATGAATGTAATCATAGTAGTCACCTCACAGGATGTTGGTAAGACTCTTAGCACCATGCCTGACATTTAAAACACTATCACTAAAGCCTCAGGAAGTGGTTTACCCAGGATAAACCAAGTCTCAAGGTTTTCAGGCCACAGCGTCTGTGATGTCTACCAGCTCTGTTTAGATGGGAACTGTGCAACTAATGGTGAAGCCACTACTTGGCTATGCAACTTCAGGCTTGTCCCTGTCCCTCTCTGGGCCCCAGTTTTCTCCTCTGTGCAGTAAGAGGTACAATGGAATTGACCTTTGAGGTCACTATCTGGGCCCCAAAGAGAGGCAGGCTGGAACCTGCTTAGGCCTCTAGGAGGGAGGGATTCACTAGGTTCATACTCCACCTTGGTGGCCATGTCAGTCAGCCTACAGGACAGGCTTGGTGCCTTGCCTCCCACCCAGGGTGCCCTCTCACAGGATGGAGAAGGTCAAACCAGTGGGACAGGATTTGCTCTACAGAAAGGGGACTAAGCTTTCCCCTGAGTTCCCATGCATCTGGGTTGGGCTGGCTCCATGGCAGGTGCCAATGGGGAGTGAGTGAATGGAACATAGGAGGTGTTCTCTCCTTCCTCCCTCTCTCCACCAGTCCCTATCACTCTTTGTCATCTTTTGTCTTCTCTCTCATCCTCCTCCAACTCTTGTTCTCTTTCTGTATCTGGCTGAGATTTTCGTAATTCTGTCTCCTCCATCCCTTTCTTTCCCCATCTTTCTGTTTCTGATTCTACCTCTCCGCCTTTTCCATTTCCCTCTTCATTTCCTGTGGGTGGGTGGGGGTAAGGGTTAACTAGGGAATAAACCAAGGGGTGTTCTACCACTGAATTATATCCCCAGGCTTTTTTATTTTTTTCTTTTGAGTCTCACTAAATTGCTGAGGCTGGCCTTGAACTTAATGATCCTCCTGCCTCAGCCTCTGAGTTGCTGGAGTCATAGATGTGCGCCACCATGCCTGGCTCCATTTCTTTCTTTTTATTTCCTCTACCTCTCTTTAGTTTTCCACTGCCAACTGCTTGCGCGCTCTCGCTCTCTCTCTCCTCCTTCTCTCCCTCCCTCCTTTCATATTTCTTTCTTATTTTTCCAGTTCTTCCATCTCTAAGGGTACCTCTCTGTGCTTCTCCCCGACTTTCTCTTTTCCTCTATTTCCCTGCTGTTTTGCATTGCCAGGGTTCAAACTCAGGGCTTCACACGTCTTAGGCAAGCATTCTTTCACAGAGTTACATCCCCATACATCCACCCCACCCCCAGTCTTTTGAGACTTGGCCAAGCTAACCTCAAACTTGAGATCCTCCAGCCTCAGCCTACTGAATAGCTGAGATTACAGGTGTTCACCACCATGCATGTCTTCCCATTTCTTTCTTAATTTCTCTCTCTCTCTCCCTCCCTTCCTCTCTCTTATAAACCCGTGAACACTCCCTTTTTCTCTTTCTCTTAGTTTTCCTGCCTGTCTCGCTGTCTTTGGGTTCTCTCCTGCTTTTTACCCTCTTTACTTCGCTTTTTCCACCTCCCCCCCACCTTTATTTTTTTATCCCTCTCTTTCTCTCCTCCCTCCCCATCTTATGTGTGTGTGTGTGTGTGTGTGTGTGTTTGTATTTCTCTCCCTTTCTCCTTTTGTGTTTCCACTTTTCCCTTTCTCCTTATTTTTTTCTCTTCCTCCTTTTTTCTCCACCCTCCCCCTCTACACCATGGCCCCAGGTAGGGACATGAGAGCCTTGGGTATGCTCCACCCTTTCATTTACATTTTTCCTGTCTCACAACCCCTGCCCCTCCCTAGGGAGACAGGTAGGGTGGGGCTTCTCACCCTGAATTGAGAAGAATAGAGACCTAAGAAGAGGGGTGACTTGCTGGAGTCAGTTGCCCAGCAAATCAAGAGAGAATCCAGGTCTGACTTCCCCCAGCATGCAGGAAGACTTCCTAGGGCCTAGGAAGTGCTCGGTCCCCTCCCCCCACCCCCATCTCCCGCAGGCCCCCATGCCTAACATCTCAACTTCAGGGGCCTTGCTCCCCACTGGCCTGAAGTGTGTCCTCCCTCTGGCCTTTGGAGCTGGCACTCCCAGTCTTACCCGGAAGGTTCTCTGTGCTCTCTGTGCAGGGATAATGGGGCGGACAGTGCCTAGCTCCAGAGCATGCAGTGTTCATTCAAAAACAAATAGTTACTGAGTTTACTATGTGCCAGGCACAGGGGGAGACCCTGGAGAGAGCATGGGCATGAGAAAGGCAAGGAGGGGGAACACAGCATGCCCAAGAGCAGGGAGGAGGGGAAACATCTCTTGGGAGAATGGGGTCTGGCAGCGCCAGAGGGGATAGGGCCCACTGTCAATTGGGTCTTCCAGGAAGCCACTGCCAAGACAGGGTCAGAAGTACAAGAGATTTATTGGAGGAAATGCCTGTGAGAGATAAAAGGAGAGGAAGCAAGACTGTGCAGGGAGACCATGTTTCAGCTCTGACATCTATGGGAAGAGAGAGGGCAAGAAGGAGGTTGGGTAAGAAGGGTCTCACATTTCACTGGGGCTCTGAGAGTCTTGGCCAGCCAACAGGGGAGCTCTGGTGCAGAAATTTCCAATAGAGGAGTCCCAGCTGGGCAGAAACAGCCAGGACCTAGTGACCCAGTTGTGCCTGTCTTTGACTGGAGGCTTCCCAAGAAGACAGTGGTCTCTGCTCCAATGCTGCTGCAGATCCTGAACATGCTGCCAGCCAACTGCTCTCTTAAAGCTGATGGCTGCTACATCCAGGACTTTAGACATCCATTTGACTGGGGCAGTCACCACTACAGACCAGGAGGGGAAACTCAGTGAGATAAACAGTGGAAGCTGAAAAATCAACCTTCCTCCAGGGGATCCCAGGTTATGGAATAGGAATCTGTGGGTACAGGACCATGCCTGTAAGATTCCCAGGTAGGATTTAGTTCCCCAAACTCCTGATCCCAACTAAGCCCAGTCCTAGGTCTGAGGGAATA